CACACACACACCCTCCACCGCTCACACACACACTCACACACACACCCTCCACCGCTCACACACACACTCACACACACACTCACACACACACTCACACACACCCTCCACCGCTCACACATCATTTCCATGCTTACATAATAGACCAGTAGTGCTTAGTGACAATGTGGGGACCACGTCAAGAGAATTCCCCTCTCCCCTTGGCCAGTGCTGCTGGGAGACCCCAGAATTGCCATCTGAGCTTTGGGACTTTGACACCTGACCTAGAAAAATTTGGGGTGCAGAGCCACCATCTGATGGAACTCAGGATAGAGGCCCATCATCACCTCTGTGGCCAGCAAAGCCAGTTTCTCCACGTGTGATGGAAAGTTAAAATAAAAGCTGTTCTAGACAATAAACAGCTCAGTGGGAACCCAGCACACCCAAGGCCAGTGTCTGCTCCACACCTCTTCAGGGCTGCCAGGAACACTGGAGTCTCCCGGGGATCCTGACCTTCACACAGGTGAGCAGCTTTGGGGAGACAGACAAGAGAATGTAGTTAAGAACTTGGACAAGGCCAAGCAGTGGTGGTGCAGCCTTTAACCCCAGCACTCTGGAGGCAGAGACAGGCGGATTTTTCTTTTCTTTTCTTTTTCTTTTTTCTTTTTTTGTTTGTTTTTTTGAGACAGAGTTTCTCTGTGGTTTTGGAGCCTGTCCTGGAACTAGCTCTTGTAGACCAAGCTGGTCTCGAACTCACAAAGATCCGCCTGCCTCAAGTCACAGCCTCATTGTGGGTAGCCAAAATGGAAGCTTCCAGCTCTAGAAACCCCCATGGGGGTCCTGGATGTAGCCCCTCCCGCTCAGTCACGGGCCTGGTGCAAGGGCCCTCGGGGACCTCACATCTTGTTCCCACTCCGGTGGACACAACCATCCTCACTCGATGTGCTTTCTGCGGTGGGAATCGGGTCACTCCAGAAGCTGGGAGGTCTAGAAGGTTCTGTGAGGGGCACAGGAGCAACTCCCCTTCTCTGACTACCCACAGTGCCACACAGACAGAGAATCCTAATGGAACAGGGGCCTAGCCTGCTCTACCACTCAGGCGTGACGACAGGCTGCGGGAAGGATGGGGCGGGGCTACACCATGGGGCGTGGCCTAGCGAGGCCGCCTTCGACTCTGGGAGGTGCAAGGCAGCAGTGTGGGCGCTGGGACTCGGCGCGGCCGCGAGGCTTCTCCTGCCTTGGGCGCAGGGGCGCCCTTCCTGCGCGCACCAAGAGTCGCTGGGCCGGAGGGGAGGCGGCTGGGGGCGTGGCCGACGCCATGGGGCGTGGCCCGCAGGAGGCCGCGAGCGTCTGGGGGCGGGGCCGAAGCGCAGGTACGCACCTCCTATTGGGCGGGCGCGTGGGCGGGGCCTGGCGCCGCTGCGAGGTAGACCCCGCCCCTAGCCCGCGGGGATCTGCGCGGCGTGGAGGCGGTGAGCGCGCGGGCTGGCGGCGGCGGTTGGCGGGCGGGCGTCCGCCGTTGGGACCGCCACGGCCTGGTCGCTCAGGCTCGGACGCCGCGTCGGGTGGGCTGGGGGTGGGTGAGCCCGCTGAGGCCTTGGGAGGGCCAGATGGGGCGCAGGCGGAGAGCCTGGGGAAGGGCGGCGGCTGGGCCGGACCTGCTGGGCCGCGTCCGGTTCTACGCAGGGCCCATGTGCAGCCCGTGTGCAGCCGAGCCCTGCGGGTGCCGAGAACCTCCAGTTTCCTGCTGCGAACCCTGTATTTCTTACCTGAATCCCTTTCTCTGTAGCCTGAGTCCCCGACCTCCTGAGAGTCCCGCATTTCCGGCCTGATCCCCGTCTTCTGCAGCCTGAACCCCGTATTTCCGGCCTGATCTCCTCTTCTGCAGCCTGAATCCCGAGTTTTCTGCCTAATCTTTGCCCTCTTTGCAGCCTGGACCTGTGTCCTTTCTGAGATCCCGAATATTCTGCTGGAAGCTCCGTATTAACCCAGTTTTCCCACCTCTGCAGTGTGAACCCATTTCTTACTCTACCACCCCCTTCCCCCCCTCCCCAGCCTGAAACGCAGATTTCTTGCTTGGTATCCCATCTTTGCAGCCTGAACCTGTGTTCTTGCTGGGAACTCGGAATTTCCTGCATGGACCCCACTGTGCATACTGAACCCCTGTTGCTTTTGGGACTCCCTCTTTGCAGTTCAAACCCCAAATCCTGCTCAAACCCTATCCCTGTTGTGAACCTAGAGTTTCGTGTAGAGTCCCATGAGCCCTATGCCTCTTACAGCTTTTCCTCTCATTGCTGCAAACACTATTTCCTGTTGAACTCCAGTTTCTGCAGCCTGGATCTCAGTTCCTTATGTGAACCCCATCTTTGCTTCCTGTATTGCTCCCCTTCTGTGAACCTAGTCCGTACTGCAAACTCTGTCTCTCCTGCCTGATTCTTCTTGAACCTCCTCCCTTGCTATGAACCCAATATTTGCTGCCCAAACCTTCTGCTACCTGAGCCCCATTTTTTGTTATCTGATTTCCCATACCTGCTTAGAAGTCCTTATTTGCTTCCTGAACTTCCATCCTTGCTGAGAACCTTGTATTAGTCATCAGTCCCCCAACTCTGCTGCATGTAACCCCTCTTCTCCTGTAAACTCTTCTACATAAACCCTTGTTTCTACTGGTGGGTCCCCTCCTTGTCCCTGGTGTCCTTCCTGCTGTTTGGTTCCCCCTCCCCCATCTTTCCATTTCTGTCCACAGCCCTGGCTGCGTCTGCCAGGGGTGTCATGTTGTGAACGCCTGCATCTGTCTCTGTCCTTCCAGGGAACGGGGCAGCCATGTGTGCCCTCTGTGTGCTGTGGTCACCCTTCAGGCTTGAGGCTAGGAGGGTTGTGAGCTTTGACTGCAACGAAGACCTGCAGCTGCTGTGGGTGCCCTGGGTGCGACCTTGAAGGGGGGATTTGTTGAGTTTTACTTATGGAAAACAGTGCAGCTACTTCCCCAAGTCCTAGGACCCTGCACTTGACTTTGACTGTCTTGTGGCCAGGTTCTGGCTGAACAGTCTCCTAGAGGCTGTGTATGAGGCCAGCTTCTGCTCTTGAAGCTCCTGTTGCAAATGTCACTGGATGCAAGCAAATGCCTTTCTAAGCTATCACACATATTTTGTTGCAGGGCACCTCTGGCGTCGGGCCCTATAGCTCGTAGCTACCCCCTTCCTACCACAGCTCCAAGTCATGACGGATGCCAAGTATGTCCTCTGCCGATGGGAGAAGCGATTGTGGCCTGCGAAGGTGACAGCCCTTATTCTCTTAATTTGTAGAATTAGAAATGACTTTTGGTGACAATAAAGTCTTTATCAGACTGCGCTCCCTCGGATTGAGCCTGAATGCTTGGCACCCACATCTGCTGGCACGCGTCCCAGGGTTCCTTCACTCCACAGGGTTTTGGTCTGGCGCTTAGGAGCCTCTATATCCGGAATTGTCTTTAATTATTTTCACACTAAGGAAAAGAAAAAAAAAAAACTAAATAAATAAAAATAACCAAAGTCAGCTATAAAAAGGTATGGAAGGCTGTGACAACAGGAGTTCCAGCTAGGAGCCCCCAGGGAATAGCTGTGGTGTTTTAGGGGTGCTTTCTGGCAGTTTAGCAGGAGCTGCTGAGTCCGCGCCCTAACCTGGGATGGCCATGGGCTCAAGTGCCTCAGTTTTTCTGCCTGAATCAAAGGAGCTTAAATGAGGTGTCTGGTCAGTCCTGTGGCCATTGGGAAGGGAGTGCCACATGTCTGTTCCTGCATGTCGCTGTAATAAGAATTCTGTTTTTACACATAGGTTTTGGCCAGAACTGAGACTTCAGCAAAAAATAAGAGAAAAAAAGAATTATTTCTAGACGTTCAAATACTCTCACTAAAAGAAAAGTAAGTGTGTGTGTTTTTAATACTGTCTTTGCTTCTCAAATGATAGAGACGGGAGAGAAGCAGGCCTTATCTCCACACTCGTAGCCCTGCAGAGAAGGCAGTGGGTTTATCAGATACTAATTTTGAATTGAAGGTCTTACATGAGGTCCAGGGATCTACAGAGAGAGGGGTCTCAAGGGAGAATAAATAGAAATTACCTCCAGGGAGCCATGCCGGGGTCTCCCCTCTTGCCAAGAACCAGCGTATTTTGTTTCTGGTCTGGCTGTGCCAGACCCCTGCACCACTAAGAAAAAAACACGTTTCCATACCGGCAAAGCTGATGGGTGGCGGGACTCTGTTGTCCTGTACCTGGTCACCCTTCATGGGCCATCTGCAAGGACGATGTGGGTGTGGGCACGCATATAGTCCCCTGCTACAGTCCTCGCTTCTGAAGAGTCCACTGGCTGCCCGTCTCCTGGGCCTGCTCCTTCCTGTCACCATCTTCAGAGCCTGCCACCACTTGAGAGTCCCCAGCTCCCGCTCTCCCTGCCTCTCCCTGCGGCAGGGAAGGTAATTGAATGCTTGAGTTTAAAGGAAAGAGCGTCCTTTAAACTAAAACGCGCCTGCTGGGCTGTAAACAGCTCTCGGTGACATTAACAGCTACTCCGAAAACCTAACAAAGGAGTTATTTGTGCTCTTGAAAGTCGGATTTGCTCATGAAAGTCCCAATTTGAATTTATTTTTACTCTTAATTCCAGCCGACCTTTTCTTTCTTAAAAGTGGGGAGGAAAAGGGTGAGAGAGAAAAAGCCGTATCCACCCTGGTTGGCTGTGCTTGTCACCTCGGCAGTGTGTCCCTCCCTGTCCCTCCTTCAGTGTGACTTTTGGTGTGAGTGGAAGGTTGTGAGGGACATCTGGACAGTCGGGTTTGCAGGCTGGTGGCAGTAACCAGCTCTTTCTCTCCGCAGGATCCAGGTGAAGAGCTCGGCTGTGGAGGCGCTGCAGAAATCGCACATTGAGAATATTGCCGCCTTTCTGGGTAAGGGCTCCAGCCAGACCACCACTGTGCTGGGCCTCAGCGACCTGTCCATCTTTTCCACGCCCCTGTGTTAGGGGGCGTCTCACAGGAGGAAAAATGGATTTGCTTGCTTTTTTTCCTTAGCCTTTTTTAGACAGGGTCTCACGTAGCCCAGGTTGGTCTTGAAATCACTATATAGCAGAGGCTGACCTGAACTCCCGATCCTCCTAGCTGAGTCCCCAGTGCTGTGATGATGTATTCACGTGGGCTGGGGACAGAACCCAGGGCCTTGTGCATGATAGGTACTTACTCCCCCACACCAGAGCCAGCTCTATCTGGTTATGTTTGTGGCTTTTTGTTTGGGCAGTGTTGGCAGTGGGAGCCGACCACTATCTGCATTCCCTGCTTCTATGGGTTTTTTGTTTTGTTTTGTTTTTGTTTTGTTTCAATGTGTGTGTTTCTTAGTTTTTGAGGTAGAGTCTCATATTGCAGCCTGAGCAGGCCTGGAGGTGGTGGCAGTCCTCCTGCCTCAGCCTTTGTAGGACAGGGATCACAGGTATTAGACCCCACACCCAGGTTCCAGACAGACACATGTGCATACATAAAACAGAAAGAAGCAGACACATGGACACATAACATACAGACATGCATATGTGTGAATGTAACATACATAAGGAGATCCAGGACAGGCTCCAAAGCCACAGAGAAACCCTGTCTCGAAAAACCAAAAAAAAAAAAAAAAAAAAAAACCATGAGAGATATACACATATAATACATACGTACAGTATGCATAAATTGCCAATTAAAAAGGCCAGAGTGGTCAGATTCCATGTCACTTACGGGTATTGTGAGTGGGGAGTCAGTGTGTATCGGGTGGGACTCCTCTTTTGTGTGTGTAGGCCCGCAGTTTAGCCCCTCCACACCTCCTCTTGTGGCTGAGCTAGACTTCTTTTTTTTTAGTTTTTTGAGACAGGGTTTCTCTGTGATTTGGAGCCTGTCCTGGAACTAGCTCTTGTAGACCAGGCTGGCCTCGAACTCCCAGAGATCTGCCTGCCTCTGCCTCCTGAGTGCTGGGATTAAATGAGCTAGACTTCTTATTGACCCAGCTCCAGACCTGGCAGTGGCGCCCACAGCAAGGGTCCTCGATAGCGGCAGTCACCAGCCAGCAGAGCTGGTGTCGGGCTCCTGGCCGTCAGGTTGAAAGAGTGAGTCCCAGCAGCCAAGGCAGGCCCAGGACAGCCAGAACAAGGCCTCATGGAGCGCACAGCTGTTCAGGGGAGCTGCAGGCTGGGCTGGTCACCTTGCGTAGAGAACAAGGGTGTCCCCAGTGCTGGCTTGAAGGGGTTGCTTGCTTGGAAGCACCTGTTAGTCTTTGTTAAGCAGGCGACAAGTGTGGATGTGGTAGACAGAGGCAGTTATCTTGGCGAGTGTGAAGCTGTCCCGATTCCCCTCAAATGAACAGCGCAAGGCGTTCAGATGTGTTTCCACACAGTGCTGTTTTGCACATGGTGACCTGTCAGGCTGAGGTCATTCCGGTATGTGCTGTTGTTGAGTCATAGCCCAGAGTGAATATATAGTCACATCCTGGCTTTGTCCTCTTTTTGCGAGGGATGTGTGGCAGGAGTAGTGCCGGGCCTGCCTGTGGCTCTGCAAAGATGGGTTCCAGGCACTTGGCATGGTCATGGAGTCTGCTGCCGCTGGCTGCAGTGACAAGCGCTAGGCACCTGTGCACCCTCATCGTGTGGCTCTTTGTCTCCACAGCGTCTCAGAATGAGGTCACAGCTACTCCCCTGGAGGAGCTGACCTATCGACGCTCCCTGCGAGTGGCTCTGGATGTCTTGAATGAGAGGACAAGTTTGAGTCCTGAAAGCCATCTGAGGGAAGAGAAGCCACATGCAGATGCTGCCTCTTGGGTGCCCGGCGCTCGCTCTCCATCCTTTTGCAGCGAGGACGGTGACAGTGTGGCTGCCCAGTGCACACCCAAGAGGGAGTGGTTCCCACAAAGCCTGCCGGGACTGCCTGCAGCTGAAGAGGACCGCAGGATAGGCCTCACAAAAAATGGAACCCTGAGAGCAGCATTGCCTTCCCCCGCTGGAGATGGGTCTCAGGACGGTTCTGGATCACGGCTGGACTGTGAACAGGACACTGCCAAGAAGAGGCGGAGGAATTTGGGAGAGAAACCTACCCAGCGCCGCAGAACAGCATCTTGCCTTTCCAAGGGAGAAAGTGTTGAAGAGAGCGAGGGACAGGCAAACAGCTGTGTGACCCCAGCTTCACCTGGGCTACTCCCCCAAGCCTCGGAAGAGGATCCCTGTGCTGGGGTCAAAGGCTGTGACCCGGTTGTGCCATCAGGCAGCAGCAGGCTGCTCCCAGCCTCTGACAGAGGCAGAGGACGCGCCACAAAGAGGCCACGCTTGGATGGAAGCCAGAACCCACCCCCTGGGCAGCTGGCGACTGGAACTGTGGGGGCAGTACCCTCCCCTCAGAACTGGCCTGGGGAGACCATGGTGCTGCTCAGGTCTAGTGACAGGGACAAGCCAGAAGAAGGTAACCATGGACAGGGACCCGGGTCTGTCTGCCCCCTGAAGTATAGTGACTTTGTCTTCTCCCACATAGTTCTTTGTGTCTGAAGAGAGTGGAAGCTCGGGCAGAACTGGGGGTAGCAGTTAGTGACCCTGCAGAGCACCCAAAGCACATTCCGAGTGAGTGAGGGGATTAGGAGCCCAGCGTCAGGAGCTGTCTGGAGGTACTTCTGAAACCTATGTGTGGCTACAGCCAGGGGCTGGGCCCCGTCCAAACCTGTCTTGACCCCCTGAGCTCTGGCGGGGGATCAGGACTCGTGTGGAGTGGTAGACATGGCATTCAGTGGGGTCCTTCACAAGGCCACCCTCTGCCTGTCCACAGGCTACAGCGAGCAGCTGGTTCCCTCCACTGTATCTTGTTTGCAGTCACCTTTTGGTTCTGGGGGCTCATTCTCTGTGTAGCCACATGTCAGGCTCACCACCTGGAGTCCCCACACTTTGTTACAGAGTGCTGCGCTTGATAGCCCTTTTCTTCCTGCTTTTTTCTTTAGCATGTACTTGAGGCTGGCACTTAGAGCTAGAGCACGTGCCTGGCCAGCGGGAGACCCTTTGTTTGTCCCTGGTCCCAGGATTTAAACAGAACAGGAGGGGTCCGTGATATGGCTCAGCAAATGAGACAGTGACACTAAACTTGGTGACCTGAGTCTGATCTCGGGCACTCTAATTCCACAGAGTAGTTGTGATTTCTGTGTGTGCACGCATGCACAGACACACAAGTACATGTAGAAGAATTTAAAGACAGACAAACACAGATCTGACACAGGGTGCACCCTTGTTGAATCTGTGTGGCTCCGTCCTTTATCCTAGATGGTTCTTTGTCCCTAGCCCTTTGTGCAGGGTGAGGGGTGGCCATCAAGTGGTGTCCCCTGTCTCAGCAGATCCTGTGTCCTCAGAAGAGTTCACAGGGTTCAAGTCCATCCACTCCCTGCTGGAGGAGGAGGAGGAGGAGGAAGAGGAGGAGCCACCCCGGATCCTTCTGTATCACGGTAAGGGCGCTGTACTCGAGAGAGCGGTGGGCGAGGGTCCACTCCGTAAAATCATCCTATTGTTTGGCGCTGGTGGTGTTTTTGTTTTTAGACTGGGTCTCACTGGTGACCTCTAAGTAGCCTGGAACTTGCTGTGTAGACCAGGCTGGCCCAGATTCAATTTGATCCTCTTGTCTCTGAGAGTGCTGGGATAAAAGGTGTGCACCTCCATACCTAACACTGTTTCGGGTGTTATGCTCTCTCTGACCCGACACCTGTCCAGAGCTTTGTCTCCTCGCTAATGGTGCTTAGGATAGGTAGCCAGCCCTGCATGGAAACCAGTGTTGGTCCTGTCCCTTTCTGGGCATGCCGAGTAAAGACGCAGGCTCTTTTGCCCTCAGTTGGGCAGAACCACCTTTGCCATTTGTCCAGGGACCTGAGTCCATCTTCCCTAGAAGTACGACATGAATTGGGTGTGCAGCCGAGAATGACATGCGGGTCAGGGCTGCTGGGTGCACAGGGACGGCTCAGCCTCTCCTGAGTCTGCTGCACGCTGGGATGCTGTACTGTGCGGCCAGGATGATGCAGGGCAGGCTGGGGGGCTGTCAGCAGCCTCCTGAGCAGGTAACGCCTGCAGAACACACCGGGGTTCTTAATGAGGACCAGCCAGATTCCATCCCCATCTTACCTCCTGTTCCCTTTAGTGCGCCTGAGTCCTGGGGCAGAGTTCTTGCTGAGGACCCAGGCTGAGTTCCCACTGAGTATCTAGGATGGTAGAAGGGCCTGGGTGCTGGTGTGAGCTATGCCTTGAAATCCTCATCTTTGGGTGAATTTGAAGATCAAGGCATACTGGCTGCAGAGAGACCTCAGCTTCCAGACCTTAGGATCTTTGGTGTCTAGTGTTCTTCCATGCCAGGCTTGAGCTGATGGCTTCCTTAACCCACCAGACCAAGCTCATGACAATTGCCAGTTTCCAGCCAGGGTCTTTGAGGTGCTTGGAGCCTCTCCTGGATGAGCTGTGACTTCCTCAGAGTTCCTGCTGGCCCAGGTAGCCCTTCACAGATTTGGATTTCATGGTGGGAGACATGGCAGTCAGTATCTCCACTTCCTGATAGCTTTCCTGATGCTAAAGCCTTATCCGTCTACATCAGTCCCTCATCCTGGGATTCTTTTGTTTGCTTGGTTTTGTTTTTTTCGAGACAGGGTTTCTTTATCTAACAGCTTTGGCTGTCTTGGAACTCACTTCGTAGACCAGGCTGACCTTGAACTCATAGAGATCAGCCCTCCTCTGTCACCCGAGTGCTGGAATTAAAGGTGTGCACCACCACCGCCTAGCCATCCTGGAATTCTTGGCGAACAGAAAGTGTTGAGTTTTATGCAGCAAAGCAGGTGAAGGCAGAGGGATTCCTGCGAGCTGAAGGCCACCCTTCACTCCAGCACGGGAGGCAGAGGCATGTGGATCTGAGTTCCAGGCCAGCCTGGTGTACATAGACCCCTGTCTCAAAACCACAGGCGAGAATGACTTTTCTTCCTCTGAAATCATCTTGTTTTCTGATTTTTGTGACCACACTGTCTCCAATTCCTTGAACTTGCTGTTCCCAGGAGGGCAGTTTATTCCGGGAGCCATGAGACTGTATAATCTCCACTTGGTACAGCGCTGTGCCTGCGTGGATGCAGTCATCCTGATGTCTGCTTTAGGGAACATGTTAGACTTAGAGGTGGAGGTTTGGGGATAGAAGTCATCCATCCTGCTGCTGGTGTCGTCTCTGTCGTTTCTCACGGGGACACAGCCGTGGCCATGGCTCATGATGGTCGTCTCTGTCGTTTATCACTGGGGCACAGCCGTGGCCATGGCTCATGATGGTCGTCTCTGTCGTTTATCACTGGGGCACAGCCGTGGCCTTGGCTCATGATGGGTACTCAGACTCCCATTCTGTGAGCTCTCTGGGTTTCCTGGTAGATGAGGAGGTTAGAGTTGGGTTGAAATGATGCCGCGAGGAACGTGGGTTTCTTTTTTTCTGTCTGTACTGTACTTGTTTAAGGCATATCTGACTCAGCCTTCTTTTCCTTTTGAACCCTAGAACCACGATCATTTGAAGTAGGGATGCTGGTCTGGCTGAAATACCAAAAATACCCGTTCTGGCCAGCTGTGGTAAGTTCCCATTCCCCCGCTCAGGTAGTAGTTTGGCTCTGCTAATGCTGGAAGACTCAAGTACTGGTAACTCGGACTTGGTGCACACAGCCCCCTCTAGCCGGGGCCTGGTCATTTGATGAGTGCTATTTAACATGGTGTCCTAAGTGGAATTCACACCACATTTCCTCAGGGAAGCTGGTGTGAGCAGAGTGCTCTGCTGACCTTTAGGAATGGATGCTTCAAGTCTCCTCCATCCAGGCTCCTGAATTTAGTTCCTATGATGCCGTGGGCATGGTGGTGTGTGCCTTTTAGAAGCCAGCTTGGGCTACATGAGATCTGTGTCTAAAACAATAAAAAAAAAAAAAAAGGTGTCTCAGTCCCACTGAAGGTCTGTCATGTGGCTGGTGAGCTTGCTCTGCCAAGGATAGCCCTAGGTACATTCAGGCACGGGCTGTAACCCTCCCTAGGTGGAGACTCCCCCATCATCACCCCTCGCTCTCCTGTCATGGGATGCTATTCTCGCACCTAACTTTAGTGGTTTGTGTCTTGTTTTGGATCTTTTGGTTTTTTTGATAAAGGGTTTCTCTGTAACTTTGGAGCCTGTCCTGAAACTTGTAGACCAGGCTGGCCTCAAACTCACAGAGATCCACCTGCTGCTACCTCCCAAGTGCTGGGATTAAAGGCGTGCGCCACCACCCAGTTTATGTGAGACTAAAAAACAAAGTGGGCCAAGTGGGCCAGCTCGGTGGGTAAAGTGCACGAAGGCCTGAGTTTAGCTCTTAGAACACAGAGCCAGACTCTAGTGTGTCTGCCATCCTCTGTGGGCTGGAAGGCAGAGACGGGAGAACTCCAGACACTCTGTCCACTAGTCTGGTGCATGCATTGACAGAGGGACCTTGTCTCAAGCAAGGTAGATGGCAAGGGCCAGTGTTTGAGGTTGTCCTTGGCTTCCACACAGGTGCTTCTGCACTTGTAACAAAAGATTTATAAACAAGACCCAAATGCAGATCGCTGGATTCTGCCTCATAATACCACAGAGCCCCAGGAAGCAATGGGGCCTGAAGCCAGGGTCACGCCACAGCACTAGGCTGGCCACCTCCACCCCAGTCATGCTGTGCTGTTCCAATTTGCCTGCAGGTCAAGAGTGTCCGGCGGAGAGACAAGAAAGCCAGTGTGCTGTTCATTGAGGGCAACATGAACCCTAAGGGCCGAGGGTTAGTACTCTAAGGGTTAGGGCCTGGGCAGGGGCAGAGACCTCTGTGGTACCCTGACTGCAGCTTCTGACACAGTCCAGCATCCACCTTGCTATTTGGTGCCTTAGCCAGACAGAGCAGCACTCCCCGCCCCCGCCCCCTCACCCACCCCACCCCGCACCCACACCCACCCCACCCCCGCACCCTCACCCCACCCCTACCCCGCACCCTTCCCACCCCGCACCCCCCCAAACCCCTCCCCGCACCCCCCCACGTGCTGCACCGCAGGAAAGCCTCAGCAGAATACGCTTCTTGATTGAACTGCACCCCCAGCTGCTGCCCTTCTCACAATGGCCTCAGAGGCCTCAGGCATCTTCTAGGTGACACTTCTAGACACCTGTGTCTACCTGAGGGTGGCTGGTTGGGCTAGGGACCTGGGCCCCCAGTGCCATGGAGGTGTTGCAGTCCAGACTAGGGTTAAGTCTCGGAGGAGGGGGTGCCTCCCCTGGGATGAGGCTACTGTGCTGACCTTGGCCTCTGTTCTGTCAAGAATCACCGTCTCACTTCGAAGGCTCAAGCACTTTGATTGTAAGGAAAAGCACGCACTGCTGGTAGGTGGCGGCCTGTGCTCTGTGTGTGCCTGCACGCCAGCCATGTGTTGGTGTTGTCACCTTTGTTCTGTGTGTGTGCGTGTGTGCACACTCGTGCTTGTGAGGGTGTGTGATGGTCAGAATGTTCTGTGTGCACACTCGTGCTTGTGAGGGTGTGTGATGGTCAGAATGTTCTGTGTGCACGCTCGTGCTTGTGAGGGTGTGTTGTGTGATAGTCAGAGGACAACCCTGGGTGTCGGGCCTTGCCCCATGTTTCCCGTTGTTGTGTGTACCCCAGGCTTGCTGGCTCTCCGACTTTGGCGTCTCCCATCCTGTCTCACCATAGGAGTGCTGGCTCACACTCCACGGCCACGTCTGATTTTACAAGGGGATTTGAACTTGCCTTCCGGAATGAGCTTTTTCTCCTGGGCCAGGAACACTTACTTTTTTCTATTTACTCAAAGCCCAAAGCACCGGGCTGTGGGGCGATGGGCGGCATTGGGAGACAGTGGGAGCTGTGGGCACTGAGGTGAGGGTGGTGCGGCTTGCTGCAGGTGTGCACCAGGCCTGTGTCTCCTCACTAACAGAGTTGGTAACGAACCAGGACGAGGGTCTGAATGTGAGTTCCAGAGCCCACTTGAGGGGAAAGGCATGGTACGTGACTATCACCCCAGCACTGGGGATTCCTAGGTCTCACCACAGTCTGGCTGAGTCCGGCAAGCTCAGGTCAGAGCGAGACTGTCTCAGCAGAGACAGATCAGTTGAGTACAGGACCTGGCCTCCATCACCGCCTCCACACATGCGAGCATGCACACAAATCTGGGTATGGGATGCAGCATCCCCAAGGTGATTGGTTGGGAGAGTTGGGGGGTGGTGCTGGCTAGAAGCTGAGACAGGAGGATTAGGAGTTCTAGGGCCAGGCTTGGTTATATACAAGGCCTGAACTACATGAGCCTCTGTCTAGACTGAAAAGCTTGATTGTCCCTCCGATGGCTTGCTGGATGCTTCATCTGAAGGGGCTTGTCTGTCGTACCCCTAAGAGGGCTGGGCTGCAGCAGAGTGGATGAGCCTGGGCTGCACAGCACCTGCCCAGGCCTGAGCCCAGGAAACTAAGGCTCCGTGTCTGTGGGACTGCCGCGGCCACTTGTGCCCTGCTGTTGGGTTTTGTAGGACAGAGCCAAGGAGGACTTCGCCCAGGCCATCGGCTGGTGTGTGTCACTTATCACCGACTACCGTGTGCGGTTGGGTACGTGGGCTGTACCCCAGGGAGCGTGTGGGGGTGTACCACGCCATTGGTATCTCCTGAGGGCAGGATGGAGGGGGCTGATGTGGATGTGGTCCCAGTCCTACATCCTGTCTTGGCCTGGCTAACCTGTGACCATACTTTTTCTGTGGAAGGTGGAGTCAGGTGCAGCCCTCCTGACTAAAGGCCCAGTTCCTCTGCACAGCACTGCCTCTGTGTGGTGACTTGACCATCCCCTGAACCCCAGGCAGCTCCTTCCTAGGGCAATGGACAGAGTTGGCACCCACAGACCTGCCTCAGGGTCAAACACAGCCCAGAAGGTTCCTGAGCAGAAGCCCTGAGCCACAGGACCTGGCAGGGTGCAGGTCTGAGCGTGGCCCTTTCCTGTGCCCTCCACAGGCTGCGGCTCCTTCGCTGGATCTTTCTTGGAATATTATGCTGCTGATATAAGTACGTATAAGTGTTCTTCACCATGGGGTCTGCCTTTGGTCCCTGAGAAGGCCCATCCTGATCTCCTGTTGTCCTTGGTGCATGCAAGTGCCAGTGCCATCCTGAGCAGAACTCTGTGCCCTCAGCTGCCCTCAGGGATGCTCTGCATCCTTGTCAGGTGGGCGGCTGGTGCCAGGCGGGGGTCTGAGGAGTACTGGGCATCTAACTGGCACACTCGATGGTTCCCAGAATGAGGATTCTCGTGGGCATGCGAGCTCTGGAGAGAGGGGAGTGATGAAGGCGTCATGAGCTCCTGATGTGTGTTCCCCTGCAGGCTACCCTGTGCGCAAGTCCATCCAGCAGGATGTCCTGGGGACCAGGTTTCCTCAGCTGGGCAGTGGGAACCCTGAGGAGCCTGTGGGGGACAGCCGGCCAGGACAGTGGCGGCCGTGCAGGAAGGTGCTACCTGACCGCTCCAGGGCTGCGCGGGACAGAGCAAACCAGAAGCTGGTGGAATACATTGTAAAAGCCAAGGGTGCAGAGAGCCACCTGCGGGCCATCCTGCACAGCCGCAAGCCCTCACGCTGGCTGAAGACGTTCCTGAGCTCTGGTCAGTATGTGACATGCGTGGAGACATACCTGGAGGATGAGGCGCAGTTGGATGAGGTGGTGGAGTACCTGCAGGGCATCTGCCGAGACACGGATGGAGAGGTGCCTGCGCATGGCAGCGGGGACCGCATTCGTTTCATCCTGGACGTGCTGCTGCCTGAGGTGGGTGCCAGGGCCCCCATCCTCAGCACTAACAAGGCTTTGTACTCTGTCCCCAGTTGGGGTTCCAGGAAAAGCAGTTGCAGGTCAGTTAGCTGTCAGCCTATGCCCCCTGGACAGACCTCCTATTCACAGACATGTTGCCTTATTGCTATGTCTGGGACATGTCCACATAAATCGGAAAATAAATGCGTGATGGGGCTGTGTGCTAGCCTTGTAGCCCAGGCTGGCCTCAAACTGGGGCTCCTCCTACCTACCTCAGCCTCCTAAGTACTGGGTGACCTCCACACCTGTCCCCTGGAAGTCACCATGGCTACTTCAGTGTGTAACTTAAAACTGGGTGACTTTGACTGTCTCAGGGTGTTGTCGGGTGTGACAGTCCCCAGAGGAGCTCCTCATGGGGCAAGTGGAGGATGCTGCTGAGCATGCATGCCCCATAGGAAACAGCTTTACACCCTGTCCTTTCTTTTTTCTTTTTTTTTGTTTTTTCGAGACAGGGTTTCTCTGTGGTTTTGGAGCCTGTCCTGGAACTAGCTCTGTAGACTAGGCTGGTCTCGAACTCACAGAGATCCGCCTGCCTCTGCCTCCCGAGTGCTGGAATTAAAGGCGTGCGCCACCACTGCCCGGCTCACCCTGTCCTGTCCTTTCTTAAGGGAAACCTCAGGACAGACCCTGTCACCAATGTGTGGTTGCGCAGGCTTATCACACAGCTACTGAGGCAGGAGGATGCTGATTTCCAGGCCAGCCTAAGCTGCACAGTGAGACCATTTCTTTTTTCTTTTCTTCCTTCCTTCCTTTCTCTCTTTTCTTTATTTTTCTTTTTCCTTCAGTTTTTCCAGATCAGTTTTCTCTGTGTAACCTTACCTGTCCTGGAACTTACTTTGTAGTAGACCAAGCTGGCCTTGAACTCAGAGATCCATCTGCCTCTGCCTCCCAAGTGCTGAGATTAAAGGAGTATGTCACCACCATACCCAGCAGAGACAATTTCAAACAACAAAGATGTGTTTACGGAAACCACAATGTGACTCCCTAAACTAATGGTAGCTCCCCAAGGCCCTGACTGTCAGAACTGGGGAAGCTGAGACAAGGCTGGAGAGCTGCAGGTGACCTTGATGCTCCTCCTGCCTCACTGTCCCTGGGGGCTGGACACACCTGGTTTAAGTGATAGTGCTGGGAATGTAACCCAGGGCTTCAAACATGCCTGGCTAGTTCTTTGCCCACTGAGTCCTGGCCCTTTCCGTTCTCCCACAGGCGATAATCTGTGCCATCTCCGCAGTGGAGTGCGTGGACTACAAGACGGCCGAGCAGAAGTACATCCGGGGCCCTACTCTCAGCTACCGGTAGGCCGCCTTGTTGAGTGCTGTGCTCTCCCTGTACCAACACAGCTGCTCAGCCTCCTCCACAGGGTGGGACTGGTGCTGTCTGTGTCAGCAGACAGGTGCCGGACAGCGACTGGACAAAGGCCCACGTCTGCAGGCTCTTCTGTGAGCCAGGACCCTGAGGCTGGGCAGGAGCCGCCTCTGCCTGAGACCTCTATAATCTTGTGCGGGGTGATGTGGACTCTGCCCCGCCTGCTCTGGTGCAGCTGATAGCGGGTACAGAGCTAGATTAAGAGGCAGTGTAGCCGTCAGCAGGGCAGCAGAATGAAGAGGCCTCTCCTGTCAGCCCGCAGCACTCTTGAGATGTGTGGCCCCGAGCCTCTAATCCCCCTCTGGGCACGCTGCCAGGCTTGTTGGGGCCCATTATCCCCAACGGTAAGTCAGCGTCCCCAGGCTGGCCGTGGGCCACCCGAGCAGCCAGGTTAGGTGGAGGCTCCCGCTGTGGTCTGCCCAGGAAGTGTGCAGCTCCTCTGTCATTTTCAAGGTTCTGACTCTGAGTGACATGGCAGCTAGGGCTTTCGAAGATGCTTCCAGTCCCCAGCTGCAGCAGTCAAAGGTGCCTTACTTTATACACTAATCCGTTCTTCTCATGCCAGCGTTGGGAGGTGAGGAGGAGCCTGAGGTCCAGGCTGCCCTGGACTGCGCAGGCTAGAGGATGTCTCATTCAGTCAGTAAAGTTGCCACCAGTGCCTGTGTAAGAAGCTGGGAGTGGTTGTGTTTGATAGTTGAGCCCTGGAAGGCAGAGACAGGAGGATACCATGTATCAAGGTTGGCAGCCTAATCAGCAAGGACCAAGTGCAGTGGAGACTTCATCTCCAAAACCCAGATGGAGGGTTCGTGCCTGATGGCTCTCTGGCCTCCATATTGTGAGCGTGTGTGCGTGTGTATTTGTGTCTGTGCATGGACTCAGTAAGCAAGGCCTACCACAGCACTGTCTTGTGATGTGGTTCTTAAGATGAACAAGGCCAGTGCTTACTGCCCCATTACGCCCCAAATAATGCTCTCTTTATTTTTAGATGTGTCTATGTTTATGACTATGGGTGCTTTGCCTGTGTGTGTGCCTGGTACCTGCAGATGTCAGAAGGGGGCACTGGATCCCCTGGAACTGGAGTTCTGAATGTTTGTGAGCCACCGTGTGGGTGCTGGCAACTGAATCAGCAAATTGTCCCAACACCCGAGTCATTCTTTCAGCTCCCGAAATAACATTCTACAGAGTGAGGCAGGAGGATGGCTGTAAGCCCAAGGCCAGCCTGGACTATGTGAGACTTTTATCACACACATTAAAAAAAAAGTCAGCCTGGGCTGTTGCTCAGTGGAACACCCATAAACTCTTGCTTGAAGCCCTGGGTTTTAGCCCAAGCTCACCTAGCAAAGGTGAGGGGGTTTTTATGTTTTTTGTCTGTTTGGTTTTTGAGACAGAGTTTATCTGTTTAGCTTTAATTGTCCTGGAACTCGCTCTGTAGACCAGGCTGGCCCTGAACTCAGAGATCTACCTGCCTCTGCCTCCTGAGTGTTGGGATTAAAGGCGTGCGCCACCACTGATCAGCCCATCTCTTGTTTCTTGAAGGGAAAAGGAAATCTTTGACAATGAACTCCTGGAGGAGAGGAACCGTCGCCGTCGCTGATGCCAAACCTCCACACCCTGCCAGAGGGCTCTGCAAGAATAAGAATGTACTAGAAGCAAGAGGCCCAGAAGTGTGCTGACTTTGAACTGTGGGTCTTGCATTTTCAGTACTGAGTCCAAGATATCAAATGTTATTGACACACCAGAAACCTCCTGGCAGCTACAGACAGAAATTTATGGAAGTTTCTGTGCGTGTATGCGCGTGTGTTTGTTTCTGTTTGTTTGATTTTAATATTATTTCGTTTATAAATGAGTTTGAACTCACATGTGTCATGGTCACTACAGTGTGGCCGGCATTTGGGACTGACTGGTCCTGTGTTACTTGGAAAGACTGATTGGAACACACAGCTTCCAGAGTGTTGTGTTTCCCTGGCGTGTTCTGCTTATCTCTTCTCTGTAGTTTCTGGAATCTTTTCTGCCACTCTCATGTGGCAGGCGAGCAGGAGGTGGGAACCTGCAGCTACTCTCTTTGGGAGGTGGGGGCATGTTTGCTCAGTGGCCTCTGTGTGTCCCCCATACTCCTGTCCCCACTCAGCCATCCACTGAAACCTTGGCACTGTACTCATGGCCACCACCTCACCTAGAAACCTTTGGGGCTGAGGGATGTGGGGATGGCAGCAAGAAAAGGCAGCTCCTGGCTCTGGCGAGATGGCTCAGTGGATAAGAGCACAAGGGCTGCTCTTCCAGAGGTCCTGAGTTCAATTCCCAGCAACCATCTGTAATGAGATCTGGTGCCCTCTTCTGACCCACAGGGGTACTTGCAGACAGAATACTGTACAATAAATAAATAAATAAATAAATAAATCTTAAAAGGCAGCTCCTGCTGCGCTGGCCACCACGCTGGATACCATGGCCTCAGGTGGATGTCCAGCAAGGGAAAGGGCAGAGCCACTGCCTGCAATGAATGGTCCTAGCTGCACACCCCCATGGGTGCTCAGCAGGTGTCTCCTGGATATGGGACATACGGGTGTCCTCCATACTGTGGCCACCCCAGGATGAGAGGTCCTAGACACCTGCATCTGACAGCACAGTGCTGCCAGGATGGCCCAGGACAGCTGGGCTTCCATGGAGACCGTCTGCACACCAAGAGGCTATGAAACCAAATTGAACTATCAGTGTTGCTTTTGGGGCCTCGGCCAAATGGCCAAAAGAAACCTAGCTGTGTAGCCGGCGGTGGTGGTGCACGCCTTTAGTCCCAGTTTAATCCCAGCACTCGGGAGGCAGAGGCAGGCGGATCTCTGGGAGTTCTAGGCCAGCCTGGTCTACAAGAGCTAGTAAAAAAAAAAAAAATAACGGTGACTCCTGTTGGCTTTGGGAAGTGGGCGGAACTGGCAGGGAGTGAGGAGCCTTTCAGAACTGCAGGAAATGCCCTTGTATGTCACCCCGTGGTGTCTCAGGATTCTCACTGCCTTGGTCCTGACCATATGGCCTTACTGTTGTGTGGTACTGAGAAGTGCTGCCTGGTCACAAGTTGAAGAAGGGCCGGCAGTGTTCCCATCCCCTGCACCTCTTAAGGCCCTGTGTCCTGTGGGTGTTGACAGCCTGTGTCTCATCTTGTCCTGTAGCCATATTCTCCACACTCGGGGTCTTACACCTCAGGTTTTGACCAGCTGTCAAGAAAAAGAAACCAGAGAGGACTCACCCCTTCCTTGCCAGTGCCCCCATATCCTCCATGGCTCTTAGTGTCCTATGCTCAGGGCCTTCGACCTTCTGACACCAGCTCTTATTCAGGGCTTCCTAGGCCCTGTGGAGGGATGAACTCATTGTGTGCCCCTGCTGTGATGGGGTGTCCTGAGGCCTCTCCTTCTGCAGCACTGGGAGGGGATGGTTCTGAGGCCTCCAACCCCATCCCTAGACTCCCTGGTGCCAACACCTCCTCTAGCTCAGGGACCACAACCCTATGTCACCTGACTCCCAGACCCTACATAATGAAGACTCAAACCCCCTCAATAGGCGACAGGTGGCCAGCGGACAGAGGCATGGGTGAGGATCCTGACTCACTGGTGAACTGTGGAGCGTGACACTATGTCATGCTAAGAGAACGGGAAGTGTCCCTAAGTCTCACCTGTCTGTTCTGCGTGGTTGTCCCCTGACCCCTCTCCATCTGCCAGGCTCGTGGTACCTGCAGATTGGGTCAATAGTGGGCAGTGGGCAGTGGGCAGAGGCTGGGCAAGGACAGCACACTAAGGCTGAGCACTTCTTCAGTGATGAAGCCCCTGCTGCCTTTGCCAATCTCCCCTGCCTATTCCCCAAGGATTTGCTGGGGGGAGGGAGATGAGTAGGTGTGGGAGTGGGTGTGTCTGTGCAAACTTACACTTGAGTGTGGTGTGTGTGTGTGCAAACTTATGCTCGAGTTGTGTGTGGTGTGCGTGCGTGTGCAAACTTGTGCTTGAGTGTGGTGTGCGTGTGTGTGCAAACTTATGCTTGAGTTTTGTGTGTGTGTGTATTTGAGAGAGGGGCACTCTGTGCTTCTACTAAGCTATCTGGCTGCCCCCTTCCACATTTAGTGAGAATCTCACTGTCGTCCCAGGTTTGCCTCAAACACCAAGTAGCACAAGGTAGCCTTGAATTCTCAGGACTACCGCCCTAGTCACTCTATCTCCCTTTCTCTTGAGACAAGGTCTCTCTACAGCCCTGGCTGTCCTGGAACCTGCTATGTCGACAGGCCTGGCCTCAAACTCAGAGATCTGGCTCCTTCAGCCTTAAAAATGTCAGGATCCCAGTTGGATACCACCATGTTCCACTGAGAAGGCGTCAACCGATGCCATGCTGGGGACCCCATAACCTCATCTAACCCCGGCACTGCCAAAGGTCCACCTCAGATTACAGTCAACACAGGACTGCGCATGCTGAGTTTCCCTCACCTGCGGAGCCAGCATCGCAAGGGTGCCAGGAAGGCAGTGAGGGGCGGCTGTAGAGACAGCCTCCGGTTAGCTGGACATTATCAGGACACAAGCTGCTGTCACGGAAGGTTTGGGTGCGGCTCAGGCAGCACCAGACTAACCTGCAGGAGGCCTTAGCTCTGGGAATCTCACGATATAGAATGGCTCAGCTGGCTGTGGCCTACCTAGGACCCCTCTGAACTCTATTTGCAGATGGGCATGGTAGAGTCGAGACTGGAGGATTACCTTGAAGGCCAGCCTAGGCTACAGAGTGAAGCTCAGAACCTAGAAGATTTTTTTCCAAACCATAGCTCTTTCCTGGCCACCCCAGCATTCACACCGCCCCCCCATACTTCTGCCTGCCCTCCTCACAGCTCGCCAGGGTGCTGTCCCCTATAGAAACTCCGGAACTCCTGTGGTTTACCCATTTTGTGAACTGGACACAACTGTGTAAACACAGTACACTCTCCTGTTAATTTGGGTTTAGTGTTAAGATTTATTTATTTTTGGTTGTGTGTGTGTGTGTGTGTGTGTGAGTGTGAGTGCAAGGCAGATGTTGGTACCAAGGCAGAGGAGAACGTTCAGGATCAGTTCTCTACTGCCATCTTGTGGAATCCGGTGGTCTAGCTTGGGCTTGGCAGCAAAGTGCTTTTATCCGCTGAGCCATAGGCCAACCTCTGGCCTCGAAACTACTGTGTAGCCAAGAACAATCTCCCTTGTGCCTGAGTGCCGGGCCGTGCCCAGGTCGCGGGGTGCAGGGGTGGAACCCGGGGGCTTCCACATGATAGTGAAGAGTGAACTTCACCTTCCTGGATTTGATTCTTTTTATCTTATTTATTATTTTTAAAGTTAATTAACTTATTTGTTTGTTTAGGGTTTTTAAGACAGGGTGTCTCTGTGTAGCCCTGGAACTAGCTCTGTAGAGAGAGGCTGGCTTTAAACTCACGGAACTCTCCTGAGTGCTGGGATTATTATGATTTTATTTTATGTGTGCAGGTGGTTTGGCCTCTTGCATACCTGGTGCCTGAAGAGGTCAGAAGAGACCTTGGAACTGGAACTCCAGATGGTTCTTCTTCTTATTGTTTATTATTATTATTATTATTATTATTATTATTACTATTATGACGATTGGCTTTTTGACTTCGAGCCAATCTTCCTGCTTCTCTGAAGTGCTGGAATGACAGGCGTGAAATATTTCACCCTGAAATTTTTAGATTCCATACTCAATAATTGCTTTAACCCTACCAATTTAAAGAATATTATATTGATCTCCAACGTCTAAAAATAATTTAAAAATTAAATGTCGGATTGGAAAAATTCAGCGTTATGGGTGAAAACGTAACAAAAAAAATCTCAAAAATACCAGATACATTAAATGACTCAAAACAACTGCCGAAACCCGGGATCGAACCAGGGACCTTTAGATCTTCAGTCTAACGCTCTCCCAACTGAGCTATTTCGGCATACCGACTAGCACTCCTCCTGCCCGGACTCCGCCCCGTGTGTAGCTACTGTGCGCAAGCGCACGTCACAGCCCTTATACATAGCCTTGTAGGACTATGCTAGAGACTCTTTTTCAGCGCTGTCTCTGTGGCGCAATCGGTTAGCGCGTTCGGCTGTTAACCGAAAGGTTGGTGGTTCGAGCCCACCCAGGGACGCGCACGCTCGAGTATTATTTTTTTTCCCCGAAAAAGCCCTTGCTTTTGTTGCAGTTCACTATCACAGGAGGCTGGAAGCTCGCAGTGCGCGCGCGCGATCACAGGCAGTAAAGTAAACGCGTCGGAACGACTCCGCTTCTATGTTCCGGTTTCCGTTAGTGCCTATTTGCGCGAAGGACCAGACCCGGAACGCTTTGGAGGACGGACCGCAGAGGTTGTCTGAAGGCCGAGACCAAGATGGCGGCGCTGGCGGGTGAGTGAGCCCTGAGCTCAGGATAGCAGGTCGGCCTTGGGCTGCGAGCTGGGGCAGAGGGGACCTTGGGGGCCCAAGCGCCGTAGGGAGCCACGTTGGCGTCTCGGCCCTCGGTAATGTCGGGGTCCGGGATCGGGCCGAAGTGCGTTTGGATCCACATCACACATTCTGTCAGCTGTGGACCTCCTCCTGTTATTGCGGCAGATTCTAGTCGGGGACGCTGAGGCCCGTCTGTCTCGATAGCAGGAGCCCGCTGATGTCCTTGAAACACAGAGAGCGAGGCAGGGAGCGGACCCAGGGCCGTCAGGCTACACACCCGGGCACTTGCGCCTCCATCATAGCCCTGGGCAGCCAGCCAGGGCCTCTAGCATTGCAAATGTCTCGGTTTCCCTATGGAAGCCTTGGTGCCGGTCTCTTTATATACAGGGATTATCCGCGAACGCAGTCTGGCGTGCTGAGCGACCCTTGATA